CGTCCTAGCCCTGAGTGCTGTGGTCATTTGAAGAGTGAGCCAGCTTTCTGCCTCTTGCCTTCTAGCTCTGTGATTTCTTTTAAAATAAATAAGTCAATATTAAATAACTGAAGTGTCTTTGCCCTGCCTGCTTAATAGAAAATCAGCCACTGACTTGTGGAAGTGGCACAGCATCTCTGTAAGGTTTTAATCATTAGATTCATGAGGTCATTTGCTTTGCCAGTGATAACAGCTGCAGGCTTGGTCTTTGAGAGCTTTTTCTTTTCTTTTTTTTTTTTTTTCTGGGGTGGAGAGCTATTTCAGATTCGGGGCAGAGCGTAATTATTACCACTACACAGACTACCTGAAGGGTGCCAGGCCATCATAAAATGTTCTTCCCAGGATATAGTATCTCTGACCAACCAAAGTCAGGCTTGAGGGTAATGAGCAACCAAAAATCTGGACATGTACCAAACAAGCACCTCGCATCCCGGCAACCTGTAGGAACCTTCACTCTGAAATCAGAGGCCCAGGGTCGAGGCTGCCTCCCTCTCGCTTGGGGCACTGTCATAAATGCCCTCTTCCTTCTATCATCTCAATGTCAGTGATTAACTTTCTGTCTCCTGGGTGAACAGACCTGGTTTGTGGGGTTCAATCAGTTTCCAGGATTATTCACTCTCACATCTACTGCAGATGCCTGTGGAGATCTGGGGGCCTGACTCATTCTCCACAGCCTTTCTAACCTGTTAGGCTGAAAAATGATTAACTCCTGTCTGAAGTTTTTCACTTTAATGTCTCAATAAATAATAAACTTATAAAACATAAACTTACTGAAACTGAAATAACGTCTACTAACAAATTTCAAACTCTCTGAGGATAATGTTCCGAAATATTTTGGAGCTACATTTATTGTGTGCCTACTTAATAAAGAGAATTCATAACGCAAGTTTAGAGAAGAGACTGGCTTCATTGTTGTCAAACCACATTGTTTTCATACATCTGCGGTGACTGGGACTAACACCAAGATTTTACATAACACCTCAGGCCAGGCAGCTTTGGAGAGAAACTGCTGTTGGAAAAACTTTACACCTGCCTGTGATGGGATTTTTCTATAAGTGGTTGTAAGCAAATGGAAGCTTTCCTTAGCAATACTTCTCCCTTCCTCTTTGACAGTTCACCTTCTGTCTCCCCAGACTCCCAGATAATGCTCTTTCTAATGCCTCCCTAGTCACTCTGTGGGTTCCTTAAAATCTCTGCCTTTGTAAAGGGATGTGGCATAGGGCACCAAACAAAGGGTTAATGGAAGCCTTAGCTGATGGAAGCTTTGAAAATCAGCTGAGAATAGGACTAAGAACATCAAAATCTCTTTCTTGTTCTACGTGGCCATTCCTTTAAATTCTATAGATTTAAAGAGCATAAAATTATGAAAATTTAAGTAAATAAAAAATATAGAAAACATTTCCTCAAATACATGTCTATGTACATATTTGATAATGCCCTATTTATTCATGGTAATATTCTTTCTTCAGCTATCTGAGCATTTACAAATTTTTGAGACAAACAGCTCTATTCACTCTTGGACTTCCCAAATATCTACAATTCTGAGTGTAGGGCAAGGTAGGAGACAGAAGCTAGAATTCAAGGCAGGTTTTTCACATGGCTGGTGGGAAGCCAGTTATCTGAGCCATCACTATTATCTCTCAAGCTCTACGTTAGTGGGAATCTGGAGTTGGAATCCAGAGCCAGGAACTGACCTCAGGCATAGTATTGTGAGATATGGAGACAAAATGCTTGCTACCTTACCAATAGTGTTTACTTGGTGTTTCATTCTACCTAAAATAGAATTGTTCTAGGAATAAATTCGCCTTTGCTTGCACTTTTTCAAGAAGATTTTTCTTTCATGTAGATACTTTTAATTTTACTCTTGTATTTTTCCTATATTTCATCTCATGGACAAAAATAAATATGTATACTTCAGCTCCTTGATAAGCATACATACTAACCCTAACCTTTCAAAGACAACTTATAATTACTGTTACTTTAAAGAGTCAAGCTAATTTCCTCCAAAGTGCCCTTGAGTTGTGGCTTTCACAGCCATCTGTGCTTCATCCAGGTACAGGTGCTTGGGGCCAGTGTCCATAGGAAGAGTCTAAAGTGAGATTTTAACGTGCCTGGCCTGTGCTAATCCACCAAGTCAAGGAAATGCTGTAGCACTTTTCACTCTCATTTAATGCATCTTTATATTGCTGGCAAATTATTATCTACAGTGAATCTTGCATGAATTTCAGAGAAACTTCCTTCTTTCTGGTCAATATAAAAACAGAGTTGCCTTGTGTTCATGCCATTATTGCTGGGTTTTTCTTAAATCTTCAAACACTAGTTGAAAATCCCCATACGTACAGACCAGTGTTTGGCACAACTGCCACCTGGGATGCCTGCATCACACCCCACATCAGAATTCCTGAGTTATGACTCTGATCCTTATCCCAGCTTCCTGTTCATGTGAACTGTGGATGGCAATAAATGATGGTTCATGTACTTGAATTCCTGCCACCCACATGGAAGACTGGATTGAGCTTCTCCTCATGTTTTTGTCATGCCCAGCACTGACCTGACAATTGTGGGTATGTAAGAGAAGAATCAGTGTGTGTATGTATGTGCGGGGGGTGGTGGTTCTCTCTACCTTTCAAAGTAAATAATTATTTTTTAATTATATATATAAAAAACTTCACTTAGACATGAATGTGGCTGTTGCTAGCCCAGAACTGCCAGAGCCAAGTTGGGCTGAACCCCATTACCACAGAGAAGATGAGTTCTTTATCCCAACAGAGACAATTCCTTGCCATGCCACGCTGTTTTCTTTTGCTTTAATGTCAATATTCATTAAGTGGCTTCGATGAGTAAATCATGACTGCAATGATCCATATAAAATACTATCACTGCTTCAGAAGTTTCAGTGTCTCCTTTCTGTTGTGCGGATCCACATGCCCTTTCATTAAAATGATGAAGGACTCATTGCTTTCTTCACATCACTGGTTATGTCTGTCAGTTGCATGATACATTGCAGTTATAACCACCATGCACTAATGTCCTCACTAAGCACCATCTGTGTGTTCTTCCACTAGATCCAGCAGAAGAAAATTCCAAGGTAATAACTAATGTAGGTTTTTGTTAGTCAATATTCACACGCTGGGTTTTAAAGAAGGGTAAAACTAATTTTGTCCCTAGAAGGATATAATAGGAGGAAAACTCCTAGATGACTGAGAAATAGATATTTATAGTGCTTGATTAGCAAAAATTTCTCAGTAAAACACAAACTTAAAAGATTAGCTGATGATTGGTTGAGGAAGAAAATAATACAACCCTCTTTTACTCTAAAGTCATTAGAGATTCATTACAAAACTAGCTGTTTTTTTAAACTACAGCCTGGTTATTGAAAATTACTTCAGAGGACAGTAATAAAAGTAAGTTGAATTGCCTTCTAATTCATAAACATCCTTGGTGGGAAAAAACAAGAGGGAAAAATTGTTTGGCTAAACATTCTCATTGGTTATATACAGTACAAGTCTTGCTTTAAAACCCTTATTACATTGAAGTAATCAATTTACAAGATATTGTCACAATACATCTGACCTATCATAAAAGGTTAAGTGGTATTATATTTAAAGGGTCAAGAAAAGATTAGTCTAAAATATTGTCCTTCAGGCAGACATCGGCCTAATGGTCGGGACACCCATACTTCATGTCTCCTAGTTCCAGCTTCTTGCTATTACAGATTTTAGAATTGGTGGATCCCTGAAACCCACAGGAAAGTGTTTTAGTTTAGTTCCAAGTTGCCCAACCTGGAACTTCAGCCATAGCTGCAGCCTGGCAACTGCGGTCATTTGAGGAGGGAGTCAACAATAAAAGCAAGTGCATGCTCATCCTGTGTGTGTGTGTGTGTGTGTGTGTGTGTGTGTGTGTGTGTGTGTGTGTGTCTAGAAGAAAAAAATGAATACAAATTAAAACACAAATTTTTGATGTCTGAAGTTGTTCAGTTGGTAACTGCTATCTGTTTATTACCCTTGCTCAACTCAATTTCAATGAAAAATCAAAGGTTATTTTCAAATATGTTTAATGAAATGGCAGGCTAAATTCATTCTACACAGCCTACTAATTTAATCCTTTTTACAATCTTTGATCACAAAGTAACATACCTGTGGACTCCAGAGTCCATGTTTTCCATGATTTTAAGTTTTCCAGAGTCTAAGTTTTCCATGATTTTGTACTTTTAGACTTTAGAAGACAGAAGCCTGCACATCTTTAAGGACAATTTCTTGGGAGTTCATAAGATGCCACCATCCCATGCAGACCTGCATCAGCACCTTGTGTTCATTTATCTTTGCGTGCTTCATTGATGCTATCCTTGTGGCAAATGGCACAGACTCAATTGTTAAAATTTCTTTTTTCATGTCTCTCCTAATTCTTTCTACATTCCTTTTCTGTCTTTTATGTCTTTGCATATGCATTTAAGAATAATACAAATTAAAAGTATGATTTACTTACATAGTATTTAACCTTGTTCATTGTTATGGCAAATATAATATTGTAAATCATTTTTATGTCACTTAACAGTGAAGTTCTTTTTAACTACATGACTCTTTCCTGTTTGCAGTGTTGTGCTATTGCTGGTGAACAAATGGCCTCCATTCCTCTTTATAGCATATTAGTGTTAAGATCTTATCCAAATGAACAAGATGTGGCTCCTCCACGCATGCACACATTTAAACCACACAGACTGTTGTTAATTATGAATTTGTTCACATTAACAGGTAACAGATTAAGGATAGGAATTTGGTCCAGTTATGCAATGTGATGGCAGAGGTTTTAAGAAGTTAATGAATTAGATTAGCTTGCAGGGTAGTAAGCCCATATTCCAACCAGGGTGGCCTTTGAAGCCGTGAGCAGTATCCTGCCCTCTGTGCTTCCAGGTTCACCATGTGATCCTCCCTCCACATGCATTCTGCCACTCATCATCCTCATCAGAAACAAAACTAAAGGGACTGCATGAAATTACAACATAAATTCCAAAACCCCGAGTCCAAATAAAACTACTTCCTTCACAGGTAGCTTTTCTCAGGTATTTTAGTAATGAAAAACCGACTAAATCTTCTACAGAACTCTTCTAAATGTCCATAATGATATAGCTTCTAAAGTTTTTACTTTACCTCCATTATTTCATTGATGATTTTTGATGATATTGCCCATATTATATTTACAGATACTTAAGGATGATTAACATGCCACAATACAGCATATATTTAAGTGTACAATTTTTATATTTTAAATTATTTAGTTTAATACATCTCATGTATTTCACAATATAGATATAGGAGCATAGCGACACTTCCACTCTATTATTCTCCTTCCTGGCTGTGTTTTAAGTTTAAATGCTGGTTTCTTACATTTTCCTCTTGAAAAACAAAACCAGTCTATCCCTTCCACTTCACTGAAGAAGCACCCACTGTCTTTTCTGCAGTCTCCAGGACATGGACTCACACACTTAGGTAATTAGGTATTTATTCCAGTGATGGAACAGCCCTGCCTGTCCTGGACTTCATCAGCACACCTCACAGGAACACTGTTACTTTCCAGGGAGGCATGTTCCTTGTCTCTTTTCTTGCTCCTCATCTTGTGAACTGAAGTAATACAGTGTTCCTTGATTGGATCTGTGCTGTGGAGGTGCTCTGATCTGCAGTCTTAGGAAGAGCGGAAGGTAAAAAGAAATCCTGACACAAAATAGGTTACTTTCATAGAAAATCTCCTGTAGAGAAATGACATGGATTATTCCTGAGGACATTTACAGAAGGCTTAATTACGGCTCTCCTTTACATTTTCTGTCATATATGAATAGAAACAGAAGATGCTCTCACATAGCAAATACCATGTGAGCAACAGACAAGAGTGAATTGAATAAAATTGGTGCAGTAAAGATCACAGGCTGAATTGCTATAGAGCAAACAATGTTTGCTGACACTAAGTGTGAAATGCAAACTAAAATATAATTGATGCATTATTTCTTTTCATTAATTTTTGAATTATGTGGTATAATTTTGTATAGACTGGGATTCCCCCTGAAACTCCCATCACCACCCTGACAGATTTTCCCCATTTTACTACAATGGTATAGTCTTTCAGAAAGAATCATAATTCAATCAGTCTCTTATTTAAGTGTACCCCGACATTGCTGGCACAGACAATGTCAGACAGTCCAGCATCCCATTTGTCTACACATTTCCAACAGTTTCATTGGGAATCCATCTCTCGCCTGAAAGCAAGAATGCATGTTCCATTATTCCCCCATATTTGTGTATGATAGACCCCAATACTCCATCACTATACATTTCCATAATTGAGAAGCCAAGGTCAACAACTGGTATGAGTGTGAACAGCCACAACAACAATATCAACAACAAATTTTAGTACCACTGAATAACCAACACAAGGGTGACAAAAAGGAAACACAAAAGTCTCTTGGGAAAAATGATGCCACCGTGTGATCCATAAGCCAGCAGTGAATTTGACAAGAGAAAGAAAGTATGTGGAATAAATAAAACTGAAATAAAAAAATCAAAACACAAGGGATGCAGCCAAAAAAATACAAAACAAAACAAAACAGTATGGATCGGATTACTGAAGTTACACTTTCCATACTGGTTTTCTTATATAAAATAGAATATATGGTATTTATTCTTTTGTGATTGACTCATTTCGCTGAGCAAAATGGTCTCTAGTTGGGACCAAGAAGTAAGTAGTATAATTTCATTCTTCTTAGTAGCTGAATAATATTCCATGGAGTAGATGTACCACAGTTTCTTTACTCATGTTTGAACACACACCTGGATTGTTTCCATGTCTTTGCTATTGTAGATTGTGCTGCTGCAAATATAGGATTGCAGATCCCCTTCTCATATGCAGATTTCATACCCATTGGGTATATTCCTAGGAGCAGGATAGCTGGGTCATATGGCAGATTTATTTGCAATTCTCCAAGAACTCTCTATACTGATTTCCACAGTGGTTGTACCAGCCTACACTCCCACCATCAGTGAAGGAGGCTGAGTTTCTCTCCACATCCATGCCAGTTAGTTGAGTTCTGAATGTAGGCCAGTCTCATTGGAGTTGGGTGGTTTTCATCTGTATCTCTCTAATGGCTAGGGAGCCTGAGCATCTTTTCATATGTCTGTTAGCCGTTTGAATCTGTTCTTTTGAAAAATGCCTGTTCATTTCCTTAGCCAATTTTGTTACAGGATTTTTTGTTTATTTGTTTGTTAGTTGTTGTTGTTTTTGCTGTCCCTAGGTTTCTGAACCTCTTTCTAAATCTGGTATATTATTTCTTTTTTTTTTAAGATTTATTTATTTTTATTACAAAGTCAGATATACAGAGAGGAGGAGAGACAGTGAGGAAGATGATTCACTCCCCAAGTGTGTACAATGGCTGGTGCTGTGCCGATCCGAAGCCAGGAGCCAGGAACTTCTTCCAGGTCTCCCACATGGGTGCAGGGCTCCAACGCTTTGGGCTGTCCTCCACTGCTTTCCCAGGCCACAAGAAGGGAGCTGGATGAGAAGTGGGGCTGCCAGGATCAGAACTGGCGCTGATATGGGATCCGGGCGTGTTCAAGGTGAGGACTTTAGCTGCTAGGCCACCACGCCAGGCTCTGTATTATTTATTATTTCTAATAGCCTGAAATCTAAATTCACAAAGAAAACCACATGTGCAAATACAACATACATAATATGATAACATATATTACATTATTCTGATATATATATCAGAAGTGGGCTATACAAAACACTGCAATAAAAACACTGTTCATTGTTGAATGCTGGATGCCAAAACATTGTCACAACAACCCCCTGCAAAACAGCTTTAACACCAGTGAGAGTAACAGTACCTCCACAGAACGCTGGCTTCGTCTCAAAGCACAGAAGGCAAGACCAGAATTACTGAAGATTGAAATGTTGAAGTAAAAAGGTATTTTCAATGAAGGAGGGAAGAGGGATGGCAAGTTTATTAAAATCAAGTAAGATTCATAAAAATACTGATATCTCTGTTGGAGAAAGGAGGAACTTTAAAAATAGTCTTGTTTTCAACGTTTCTTTTAATTTTTAATTAGGTTTTAACAGACTCAATATAGTTTGTAAATACTTCGGGGCAAGGGATTTGCAGAAATGCAGGGCGAAAACTATCTGCTGAAGCTTTCTGTTGAACAATTTATGGTTTTGATAAGTTTTCTGTAATGAGCAATTAAGCTACCTTCCTGGAGATGTGTATTTTAGAACAGTAAAATAATGCTATAGAAGATATTGAGAAAATTAAAGCCATATTAATATAAGCCAGGAAACTGCCTGCAGGCTAACTTCAGTCCAACGTGAAAATCTAAGAAAATTAAATACTTCTTTTTAAAGGATTGTCCAAAAAAAGTATGCAACAAAGATTAAGAGCCCTGTAAAGTCCATGACACGCACTATCTGACCACTTACAGAAAAACCTTTGCCAAATGCTGATGTGGAGAGTATAGTGGATAAAACAATTTGGTCTTCATTCTGCGACTATCAGATCAGTTCATTGGTTTTGACTCTCGACACTCATGAAAAAGAAAAGGACAAAGCCAATCAATTAGATAATGGGTGGGGAGAAATTTTGATATTATCTGGGAAATTGAAAGGGACCGGGACATTAAGTTTGAAAGTGGCATATTAAAAAAAATAATAAAAAAATAAATAGCGGGCCCAGCGTGGTGGGCTAGCAGCGAAAGTCTTCGCCTTGAACACACCTGGATCCCATAGGCATCGGTTCTAATCCTGGCAACTCCACTTCTCATCCAACTCCCTGCTTGTGGCTTGGGAAAGCAGTGGAGGACGGCCCAAAGCCTTGGGACTCTGCATGTTCATGGGAGACCTGGAAGAGCTCCTGGCTTCAGATCAGCACAGTTCTGACTGTTGTGGTCACTTGGGGAGTGAATAATCCGACAGAAGATCTTCCTTCCTGTATCTCCTCCTCTCTGTATATCTGACTTTGCAGTTAAAAAGTAAATTAATCTTTTAAAAAATTAGCAACTTGTAGATAAGGAAACAGGGAGAACAAGCAATTTCTCTTTTCCACAATCTCTCTTCTTTGAAGCCATCTCAAAGTAAATACAGCTGAATACCAGCACATTATGATGCACCATATTGAATGCAATCCTGTGTGGAAGAGCATTTAACAATCAGCCTTAGATCCAGGGAGGGCGTACATCCTCTGGAACCTCTTTATCCACAGCTCACTTTCAGGATCAGTTTTTAAGATCTGTGATGAGTCACTGGTTGCATCTACTTGACTTAGCAAAGTGACATCCAAATACCAATTGAAATATTATTTTTGGGTGTAACTTATAGAGTGTTTCCAGAAGAAACTAATACTTATATCAATAAGCTGAGTAAAGAAGAAGCTTCTAGGACCCGGCACGGTGGCCTAGCAGCTAAACTTGAACACTCCTGGTCCCATTTGGGCACCAATTCTAATCCTGGCAGCCCTGATTCCCATCCAGTTCTCTGTGGCTTGGGAAAGCAGTGGGGGATGGCCCAAGCCTTGGGACTCTGGACCTAAGACAAAGCATTTTTAATTTAATTTTTATCCATGGCTAATATGAAGAATGATCAGAATGATCTAACACAAGTAACATGGGTGGCAGAGATCCACGCCCTTGATCCCAAATCTGCTGCTATCCAGGCTATGCTTCAGCATGATCACTCCTTCATTACTGGAATGTAGGGACAACGAAATCTCTGTTGTAATTCCTTGAAAGGCAATGTTAGAGTAAAATGGTTTTATCTTTTCTCAAACAATGCTAAGTACTCAAAGTCATGAACCTGTTAAGTTTGCTTTGAATTTTGACTTCTTTTGTCACCTTGGAGAATTAAGTTGGCCAATGGATAGATGAAAGTATACGAAGACATATAAGGGCCTAAGAATTGAGTTGTCCATGGGTGAAATACTTTATATCAGAGAGTGAGTTTTTTGTCACCAGAATAAACAAGAACCAAATGACTGTATATATGTGAAGGGACTCCATTGGTAGAGAGGTTTGTTTAAATAAGCTTTAGCTCTGTTTGAATTCGTAGTTTTTAGTATCTTACTCAACTTTTGCCTATAAATGCAAACACTTATCATAGAATAATAGCAAAATATACAAACCAAGTATCTAACTAATGTGCACATTTTTCATGCTGAAAACCCAAATGGTGATCAAAGTCTGTTCTCTGGTGTATTGCAAGAACTGCAAATTCTTTATAATGAGCAAATTTTATATCAAGTCCCTCAGTATTTGTCATGGTTTAAATATGATTTCTTTTCATATTTTCTGAATCTATGCAACACTGTTGTTCCTTTGCCAAGTCAAAAGGAACACATTTTAAGTATAAGAATTTTTAATAAGGGAGTGTTAATTATAAATAAAAATTATAATTTTACTCAAATTAAATTAATTCAAGGTAACTTGGAATAATTAAAAACATGTCTAGTCTCATAGACTGCTTCATTCATTCCTTTATTTTTAATTTTTATTTATTTTTTTAAAGATTTATTTTATTTTCATTGGAAAGGCAGATATACAGAGAGGAGAGATAGAGAGGAAGATCTTCTGTCCGATAATTCACACCCCAACTGACTGCACTGGCTGGAACTGCGCCAATCAGAAGCCAGGGGCCTCTTCCGGGTCTCCCATGCGGGTGCAGGGTCCCAAAGCTTTGGGCTGTCCTCGACTGCTTTCCCAGGCCACAGGCAGGGAGCTGGATGGGAAGCAGGGCTGTTGGGATTAGAACCAGCACGCATATGGGATCCCGGGCGTGCAAGGCAAGGACCTTAACCACTGCGCCACTGCGCCACTGCGCCACTGCGCCACTGCGCCACTGCGCCACTGCGCCACTGCGCCACTGCGCCACTGCGCCACTGCGCCACTGCGCCACTGCGCCACTGCGCCACTGCGCCACTGCGCCACTGCGCCACTGCGCCACTGCGCCACTGCGCCACTGCGCCACGCCCCATTCCTTTATTTTTTAAACGGCCTTGTATATTTATGAGACAACTTTCTGAAACTGAGATGCAGGAATATAACAATATTAAGTACATGCAATATAACAATATAACAATATAAAGTACATGCACAATGCCCTCCTCTGTAACAGTGCTGATTAGTGCTTCAAAACTTAAAGAGCACTGGCAGAGAAGTAAGCTAATATTTTAGATTGCTGTTAAAATAATCTAAATATTTAAGTAAAAATATTTTATTCATCACCTGAGCAATACTTTATTGAAAAAAAACAGTAGTTCAATCTTGCTCATACAGACCCCATATCAGTAGTATTGAACTACAAAGTAGAAACAGTGTATTGTTATTGAAAATTCCTTATGACATACTGCACATGCATAAGGAGAATAAAACTACTAAAGGAATGATTTATGTACATATTCCATTCTAGATATGAAATATTACAAGTATTTTGGGAGACTTTAGAGTATGCATCCTGCCTTTCCAACACATGTTACTTATCTACCCTTAGGTCTATTCATTATGTTTTTTGTATGTATTGGTACATATCTACACCTACTCACAAATATACGACCTTTATGTTTTACTTTTTGTCTTGAAGAATATACTCCTTATTGCCTTAGATTCATGTATATAATCTTCAGTTAATCTTTTCCAGGATTTTTTAAAGATTCCTCTTACTAATTTGATTTCTTTGAAAGGCTCTCCATACACACACACACACACACACACATAGAGAGAGAGACAGAGACAGAGAGACAAAGACCAGAGCACCCATCTGGTTTACTCCCCCAAATGGCTGCAATGGTCAGGGCTGTTCCAGGGTGAAACTAGGACTCAAAAGCTTTGTTCTTGTCTCCCACCTGGTTTCAGGAGCTCAACCCCTTGGACTATCTTTTGCTGCTTTTCCAGGCACATTAGCAAGGAAGTGACTGGAAGTAGAGCAGCCAGTACCTATTTGGAATATCTGCATTGCAAATAGGTTTTACTCATTATGGCACAATGCTGGCTCCTGCTTTTTTAGTTTTTTACTTTTAAAATTTAATCTCTTCTCCTTTATCTCCCTTCCCTTCCACACTCATCCCTTCCCTTCCCTCCTCACCCTTTCCCTTCTTGCTCCTTCCTCTTTTTTTTCTGTCATATATTTTCAAGCAAGTATAAGTAAGTAATGCTTTAAAATATTTTAATTCTTCTTGCTTCTTTCTCTTCCTAAATGCTAGAATGATTTTTTTCTGCAAAACTCTCATTCTTTAAAAATATGTGAAACAAACCAGAATCTTGATAATATGGTTCATTTCCAAACTGTTCTTCATGCCACTTTTCAAATGATTTTAAGACTGTTTTATATTTTGTTTTTGTGACTCTTGGAATGATTATATTACTGTGGTTGATGACCCATATCATCTAAGCAGTTACACTTACTAGCATAAAAGGAAATAAAATATCACATTTGATTTTCCTTTGAAACATTTCATCTACTTTCTTATTTACTTATATTTATTTGAAAATTTTTAACTGACATAGAAATCATACTTATTTGTTGTGGTTTCTGTTTGTCTACACATCGTATAACATCCAAATTTGCAAAAATATCTATTTCTTATATTTATCATTCTTTTATGGCAAAAGTATTCACAATCCTTTTATCTAGATAATGCTTAGAACAATATATAATGCATGATCATTACCTAGATAGTTACATTATCATGTAGTAGACTCCAAAATACTTATACTTCTATAACTGTAATTTATTGCCTGTTAATAAACCTTCATCAATTCTTTCTTTCCCTGTACATCCCTTAGGGCTTCATCATAATGCTAAATTTTCCTGGGTCCACATTTTTAGATTCTAAGTATGAATGAGATCATGGACTTACTAAATTTTTTGTAGATCATTCTGCATAGCACATTGACATGGAGCTCCACCTACACTATTGCAAACGATAAGATCATATTCTTTTTTGGCTTAATGATATTCTATTGTTATTATTTTAAAATTATACTATAATCTGTGAATTTTTTCCTTTCTCTTAATTTCTATGAAATCATTTTAATTAGATAAATGAAAATTTATTTAAAGGCTTATTTTTATTGGAAAGGCAAATTTATAGAGAGGAGAGACAGAGAGAAAGGTCTTCCTTTCTGCTGGTTCACTCCTCAGGTTAGCCAAAACAGCCAGAATTAAGCTGATCCAAAACCAGAAGTCAGGTGCTTCTTCCAGGGCTCCCCTTGCGTGCAGGGTCCTAAGGTTTTGTGCCATCCTCTACTGCTTTCTCAGGCTACAAACAGGGAGCTGGATGGGAAGTAGAGCAGCCTGGACATGAGCTGGCACCCATAGGAAATCCCAGCACTTGAAGGGGGAGGATTAGTCAGTTAACTCATCACACCATGCTGAATGAATTACAATTTTATCTCCTCAGAGACACATGTCCAGTTGCTTATTGTTTGCTACTGTAGCTTTTCAGTTATTTTCTTTTTCATTATTTGCATTAGCTAACATACATAATTGTGTCCATATTTTCTGAGATGAATATTTTACATTACCATGCAGTTACTTTTTTGGTATACGACATCTTTATTATTCCTCTGTTCTACTAATGTTCTGTCTCACCAGATTTTTAAAAAAATTTTCTTTCCCCCTGAGGTTTTTGAGTATTTATTGAAATGATTCCTAAAAAGAAGTTATTGTTTTATTCAACCTGATTTTTTTTTTCAGGCAAGTAACGTAGGGTCATAGCGTTACATTTGATGGTTTACAACATGTCCATGCATTTTCGTCTGGTACACTGTTTGCCTAAGTGTTCCATGTATGTATTTAAAGAATGTTTATTTTATAACTGCTGGAAATGGATCTTATACGTATCCATTATAGCATGACTATTAGATTGTCTAAATAAGTTCTATCTTATTTTCACCTGCTTGTCTTATAACTTAAAAAAAAAAAAAAACAG